CCATTTTTACCTGTCAGAGTAGCAAAACCCGAAAAGTTTGATAATATACTATACTGAAAACAAAGTTACACTTCTAGACTGCTAGTGGGATTATAAAACTAGCACAACTTCTGTAGAGGATAAACTGGCAATATCTAGCTAAATAATAAATACATATACAATTTGACCTGGACAAGTTCTAGAAATTGATCCTACAAATATATTTGCAGAGTAAAAAAATGACACGTTTACAATTCTATTTGTTGGAGCATTTTTTTTTTTTTGGTAACAGAAAAAGATTGGAAAAAAAATAAAGGTCCATCAATAGAGGGCTAGGCAAATACATTGTGATATATTCCCATTCAATGGAGTACTAGGCAGTTGTAAAACAAATTGAGGAAATTTCCTAAATACTAATGGGGACTTTCTATTTTTATTAGTAAAAATGCAACAATCAGCACATGATGTATGGTATGCTACCTTTTGTACAAAAAGAAGAAAAATTATATATATATATGTGTGTGTATATCCACACATATGTATTCAATTTGCCTATATATACATAGAAAACTCTGGAAAGTTACACAAGAAACTAATAACAATGATTACCTATATTTTTGGTAAAGAATGGGAGCTAAAAGGATGGGGAACAGGATAGGATGTAAAAATGTACAGTAATGAAAATATTTAATGATGTTCCCTTCTACTGATTATATTACACATACTTATGAATGTGGCATAGGTTTAAAATTAATTATTGAAATGCAAAATTTATTAAACAAAAGCTATTTTCTATCATTTACCTCTTTATTAAATAGGAATATAATGGAGGTTGCTTAAGCAAAACTAGATGGTGGTTAATCATTACCTTAAAGACCACTTACGTTTTCATGATGTTTTCACTGTATTCTTTTTACATATTCTATTCCCAAATCAACCAAGGCAAGAATTAGGCACTGTTTCTTTTTGAAGAATACCAGATGCTAATCTTTACTTTCTAAGGGTGTTTTTCTAAAAAGCCAGTGTTTAGGAATAGATGCAAGAATCCTTTGTTTTACAGATTTTAACCTTTGTTTTACAAATTCAAAGCTCAAGAGCTGGAGGTGTTTCCAATGAAAACTGAAGTTAACACAATCCAGAAACAGTAAGAGAGACACTTCTTCAAAGCATTTCTGTGCTTAGCTTATCACTATATATACATTAAAAATAGAACTATAAATGCTTATCAATGTAATTACCACCAAGAACTTTAAAAAAAACAGAGTGATGGAATGGAATAGAGAACGCAGAAATGGACCTTCAACTCTATGGTCAACTACTCTTTGACAAAGCAGGAAAGAATATTCAGTGTAAAAAAGATAGTCTCTTCAACAACTGGTGTTGGCAAAATTGGGACAGCCACATGCAGAAGAATGAAACTGGACCACTTTATTACACCATACTCAAAGATAAACTCAAAATGGATGAAAGAGCTAAATGTGAAACAGGAATCCATCAAAATCCTAGAGGAGAACACAGGCAGCAACCTCTTCAACCTTGGCCACAGCAACTTCTTGCTAGACCTATCTCCAAAGGCAAGGGAAATAAAAAGCAAAAATGAACTAGTGGACTTCATCAAGATCAACAGCTTTTGCACAGCAAAGGAAAGAGTCAACAAAACCAAAAGACCACCTAGAGAATGGGAGAAGATATTTGTAAACCTCTTATCAGATAAAGGGCTAGTATCCAAGATCTACAAAGAACTTATCAAACTCAGCACTCAAAAAAACAAGTAATCCAGTCAAGAAATGGGCAGAAGACATGAACAGACATTTCTGCAAAGAAGTCATACTAATGGCCAGTAGACACATGAAAAAGTGCTCAGCATCACTCAGCATTAGGGAAATACAAATCAAAACCACAACGAGATACCACCTCATACCAGTCAGCATGGTTAAAATCAACAAGTCAGGAAACAACAAATGTCGGTGAGCATGTGAATGGGGATCCTTCTTACACTGCTGGTGAGAATGCAAGCTGGTACATCCATTTTGGAAAACAGTATAGAGTTTCCTCAAAAAGTTAAAAATAGAGCTACCCTATGACCCAGCAATTGCACTAGTAAGTATTTACTCAAAGGATACAAACATGGTGATCCAAAGGGGCAATTGCACCCTAATGTTTATAGCAGCAATGTCCACAAATAGCAAACTATGGAAAGAGCCCAGATGCCCATTGACAGATGAGTGGATAAAGAAGATGTGGTATCTATATATAATTAAATATTACTCAGCCATCAAAAATGAAATGTTACCATATGCAATGATGTGGATGGATCTAAAGGCTAAGAAAAATAAGCCAATCACAGAAAGACAATTATCATCTGATGTCACTCATCTATAGAATTTAATAAGAAAAACAGAGGATCATAGGGGAAGGGAGGGAAAAATAAAATGAGATCAGAGAGGGAGTCAAACCATAAGAGACTGTTACCTATAGGAAGGAAGTTGAGGGTTGCTGGAGGGGAGTGGTGGGGGATGTAGTAACTGGGTGATGGGCATTAAGGAGGTCACATGATGTAATGGGTATTATATGCAACTGATGAATCACTGAACTCCACCTCTGAAACTAATAATACATTCATTATATTTTAATTAATTGACTTTAAATAACATAAATTTTTTTAAAAAAATGAAGAGTGTAGGGGCACCTAGGTTAAGCATCTGCCTTCAGCTCAGGTCATGATTCCAGGGTCCTGGGATTGAACCCTGCATAGGGCTCCCTGCTCTGTGAGAAGCCTGCTTCTCCCTCTCCCACTCCCCCTGCTTGTGTTCCCTCTCTTACTGTGTCTCTCTCTGTCAAATAAATAAATAAAATCTAAAACAACAACAACAACAACAACAACAACAACCCCAGAGTATTAACCCCTCTAGAGATACCTGAAGTTCCTCTTGGTTTTTGGAGAATACCTCTTAAAGTATACATATAATAAGGGCATAAGTGAGGTTTTCATTACAGCTGTGGTGTTATTGAAGCAGGTTATAGGCCTATCTTGAGTTAATTATTTTCCATTAGGAAAACTGATAATCAAAAGATTATTTATTTAGAATTTTTCTTTAGAAGATTTTATTTATTTGCAGGGAGACAGAGAGAAAGAGAGAGTGTGCCTGTGAGCATGAATAGGGGGAGGGGCAGAGGGAGAAGCAGGCTCCCTACTGAGCAAGGAGTGTGAAGTGGCACTTGGTCCCAGAACTCTGGGATCATGACCTGAGCCGGAGAGCTGCTTAACTGACTGAGCCACCCAGGCATTCCACTAATCAAAAGATTTAAATAGAGTTACCTCATTGAGATTAAGCCACTCATTAATATTATGGGGATTATATTTTCAAATCACAGAGTGCAAAGGCATCTAATGAACCTAAAATAAATAGATCACAATTTTGTGCTTTGTTTCCAATTTTACAGTTAACCCTATAGAACAAATTTTAAGGAGGGACTAGCAGTCTTTATCAACAAACTATCTATTTCTTTTATTTAAGTTTTGAACATTTAATTAGCAAATTTTGACTTTTAATCTATTGACTTCTTGGTTTAAAATGTATAGGCTCGGTGTGGAACAAATGGATTCTTTACCTGTGGACTGACTGTTAATAATTTTCACTTCTTTAGAAGCAATATCCAAGTTCTAGGAGTTCTGACATTGCTCCTTATTGTTGCATATGGGACTATGATTCAGAACACAGTAGCATCATTCTTTGCCTTCTCTTTGGCCTACATGATAGATTATTTTACGGTGACCTATTCAACGGATGCAATTAGAGAAGGGCCCATCCTCCTCTGCTCTAGTAAACTTATAAATTTCAATATCCGGTGCCTAAAGAGTAACTGGGTACATTTAGCCTTTTCCATGCTCTTGATTCTGTTCCCCAAAAGCACAGAAATCACACTATGAACTGGATTGGAAGGACTTAATTTCCTTTTTCTATTTGGTCTACATGCACCACCTGGTGGTAAAATAGTGCATTTCAAGTGTGTGTGTGTGTGTGTGTGTGTGTGTGTGTGTGTGTGTGTTTTGGGGGTATTAACATGGGAAAGAGAATTTCAATATACATTCCTAAACAATGCAATTATTTTGCAGCAAATAGTTAACAAAACACTAGAACACTATATGTATGTCAGAATAGGAAGTAAAGGAGAGAGTACCTCATGTTGGAAAGTACAATAGCTTTCTCTTATTTACATTAACTACAGATCTTATAACTCCATCCTTTGATAAACGTTTATTTATTGTGCTAATGTTCTTATAGAGACAAGAGTCAAACACTGATAAACAGTGTAAAACTATTTTCTTTATTTTTAATTTTTAAGGATTATAATTTTTAAAAGGATGCATCCTCTTTCTTATATTGGTAGTTAGTACAAGTCAAATTCACAGAGTTTTAAAACTACAAGGAACCATAGAATCATTTAGACTAATGCACTAATTTTACAAATATATTAGCTGAGACTCAGAAATGCCAAGTGACTTGCCCAAAGTCATACTGGTAAATAGTGGCTCAATTCAAATAAGAAACTAGGTCCTCTTATTTTCAGCCTAGGAATATAAAATCTAAAAATTATACTCATATACCATGGTAAAATACCTCTGTGTGAAAAGATATGCACTTAACTCGGCCACATAGTGCTTTAGAACACTAAGATGTGAGTTAATTGACACAGGCTAGTTTTGTTCTAAAATTCTGAGTGCAAAGAACAGTAGAAATACACGTATCGTAAAGCTATTGAAAAGGTTTTCTAATCAGCAAAAATCCCTTTTATATACATTCAAAGGAATATTTTTCAACTTATATATAATGCTTTTGTTGTGAAGATGGTGCAAAAAATTCCCTTTGCCCTTTTAACTGCTTCAGAATCAGAGATCTGTTTCTACAAAGTAGGTACCCACTGGTAGGTTTAGGCATAAACCATGTTCATAGCTCCCTCTCATGACCATCGAATGAATACTATATAAGCCTCCTTTATTCTCGCTGTTGTATTCAACTAACAGCTCACTGGTTAAGTTTTAATTGCTTCCAATGAGGTCAGCAAAGGTATTTATCGAAAAGCCCTGAATAAAAAGGCTCCACACACACACACACAAGCATACACGCGCTCACACAGAGAGAAAATCCTCTTGCCTGTTGATTTATGGAAACAATTATGATTCTGCTGGAGAATTTCTCAGCTGAGAAATAGTTTGTAGCTACAGTAGAGAGGCTCAAGTTGCACAAGGCAGACAACAGACATGGAATTCTTGTGTATCCAGCTGTTATCAACAGAACAAGTAAGTTACTGTTATTTGTCTTTAAAAATAATACTGAATGATTTTCTAGTAGTTTACCTCTTTCTCTGGTTTTAGTGCTGAGGGGAAAAGTAAAGTTACCAAACTTTTGAGCCACGTAATTATCTATAGTAATTATGCTGTAGAACTTATATAAAGATTAGGTTGACGTTTTCCAGACAATACTGGCATTTAACTTGAGAAATGTGGGTAGTTCAGGAGAATATAATTGATTAACCAGAAACATAAAAGCATACAATAAACGAATCTAGGGAAAGCATTTATACTTTGTTAATAGTGATTTTAGGACTTAATTTAAATCAGTAGCTCTAACTGCAGGATGTTTCTTACCAAATAGCAATCGGAATAAATGGTACAATCATATTCTGATTTGTCTCTAGTAATGCATAACTTTTATAAATCTACATAGAGAGAAATGAAGATGTTGGCATCTTCTGTGAAAGCTGTTTTAAATGTGCCTTCACAGTACAAACTGCACTGCATGTTATACTACTATTTACCTACTAAGATTTATACATATAATTTTTCATCCTCCCCTCCCCTCCTTTCCCTATTCTTAATTTCTTATTGCAAACAGAAGTCAAGTAGTAAACAGTGTCGCAGCAACTGAGCTTATTACAACCTGTTTTTATAAGGAAATACCAACAGAGAGTTATTTTAGGAGGAATCCTGTGTTGTTATCAGGAACTAAAACGATAAGGATAACAATTTGGAAAAAAAACAACTACTCTTTCTTAAATCAATCTACAATTCACAGATAGGAAGAGGTCAATGACCTAGGAGCAACAATCAACTCAAGATTTAATTTTCATTATGTTATTCATGAACACCCGGAGCACTACACTATAATGCGCAAATGGATACTGACATGGATCCTGCCAACTTTGCTCTACAGATCATGCTTTCACATTATCTGTCTAGTGGGCACTATATCTTTAGCTTGCAATGACATGACTCCAGAGCAAATGGCTACAAATGTGAACTGTTCCAGCCCTGAGCGACATACAAGAAGTTATGATTACATGGAAGGAGGGGATATAAGAGTGAGAAGACTCTTCTGTCGAACACAGTGGTATCTGAGGATTGATAAACGAGGCAAGGTCAAAGGAACCCAAGAGATGAAGAACAGTTACAGTAAGTAATGTCCTTAATTTATAGCACTGTGTAGGAACCTTAATCTGTGAAAGAATCATTTTTCAATTGACAGGCTTTCTTAGTTTCCTTTTTTTTTTTAAATTAACTATCATTTTTAAATTTCTCTCAATTGGGATCATTGAACTATGTTTCCAAAATCATCTTCTGCAACAGGTCAAATTTACTAATATTATAATTGTAACTGATAACCCAAACCAATTTGAAAATATAATCCCTATGTCCTAAACTCAAAATGCTTATAAACTAAGCAAAATGTAAATGATATTATTCACACTGAAATGTGACTCACTGTCTTCTATCAAAATTCATTAGGAACTCTTAAAGAGAGTTCTCATTAAATGCTCAGTAAATGAGTACTCAGTAAATGCTCACCAAAAGCTACTTACCAGTTTGAGGAAAAGAAATTTTATTTTAAAAAGTAATTTGATTTTCTTTGAAACAATATTTCTGTAGTGGGAAATAATCTGTGCTCAAAAATGAATTTAGCAACTTGTGCAATTGTGTACAGTTATAAAATAGAAGGGAATCTGTGGTATCCTCATCTGTTTGCACCACAATGAGTTTGTATTAGATTGTTTATTCACCTGAGCAAAAAAAAAAAAGAAAAAAAAATAGGTTCCTCCTAACATTTTCTTGAATCTTCTATGCCATAGTTCTATGTTATCTTAAGAGAATTGTAAATGTGAAGGAGGAAATAAAAGTGAGTTAGAAGAGATGTCCATGATTTTCTGTTAGTGTATTACATTTTTTCCAAAACCCAGTTTTTTTTCATGTTAAAATATCAGGGTTGGACTTATCATTTAGCAGTTATGATTAATAAACAGTTTTAATAGTTTTAAATTTAATGGGGTAAAATATTCAACATGTATAGTAAGAATTTAAAATCCCCGAATGAAAATAGATTTTGTTTATATTACTAGCATTTGAACAATGTTATTATTATTTCATCTTATAATATTATGTATGTTCAAGTCAACTGAAAAAGAATGCATGGGGTTGATGGTGTAAATATTTGCTTAAGTACTTATAGTACGTTTTGCTTGCAGTGAGTACTTGAAACTTCAATTGCTTGTTTAATGAATGCTTTTTAGGCTTCTTAATTAATGAACCAATAAGTGGGAATCTGGGGAATTATGTTTCCAATATGAAAACAAGAGGATCTTCTTTGTAACTATAATCGATATAGAATGCTAAGGCCATTTTAATGGATCATTAACAGCAATTCTTTAATCATTACAGTTATTAATAAAATTATCATGTTAGTCATAGAATATTGTTCTGATTATGCTTAGGTTTAGGTAAAGAAATAACCATTTGGAGGAAGGTTCTGTGAATAATCACTTTAATGTGAGCAACAGAATTTGGAATATAATCAATTTTTTAAAAATTGAGACTTATGGATAATGGAACCTGGTAGAGGAGACAGAGCCCAGGTGGAAGTTATGATGCATACATATAATCTGCCTGTGAATAATTCTGGAAAAATATTTAATTCTTTCCAAGTCTCAGTTTTTTCATCTCTAAGATATGGGATATGTGCAGATGATCTCCAATATACCTTCTAGTTCTTATGGTCTATTCTATTCTAAGCCATAGAATATATCACATAAATGTGAATAAATCTAAGTACTCATTATATAATTACCACATACTCTGAATGATATAGGTGAATATTATCTCAAGGATAAGATGAGCTGTCAGAACTAATTCGAAATCGTAGCAATATCGTTATCAAACCTAAACACTGTAGAATTCTTCTGTATACCAGCTAATTCCTTTTGAATGCTTTAGTCAAGTAATGGAAAGTGAAAAATTAGATATAAAATCCAGTGAAAATGAACAGTATGCATAATTATTTGGGATGAAAAATATCCACAATTATGACACATTCACATATGTGTTTTATTTTGTGTTAAAATTTCTTGAAACCATGAAACCCAGGTGTTTGTAAACATACACAAAATGCCAAACTTATTTTATAGTTTGAAACACAATTTAGTGTTAACCTTGAGTAACCATAAAGCCGATTGGGTATACCACTCCTCCTCTACTCTAATTCTACAGTAAAAATGAAAGAGAGAGAGAAAGAAATAAGTTCATTCTGTATCATTAATTAGAATGTCACAATACCAAGGTACTTAGAGTCAGGATATATATCATATAAATAGTCTTCACTTCTATAAGCTTTTCATAGGCTGCATATAGAAGTATACTTTCTTGATATGGTGAATTCTCCTGGAAAGAGAAACCTTTAATGGGATGCTTTAAGTAAACCCTAAAACTCTTGGCAGGTTGTATTGTTATCCTATTAAAGAAGGAGCCACTCAACCTTCAGCATACTTGAAAAGAAGCTGATTCACCGTTGTCTATTAGGAAATCCTAAGATACAAAAGGAAACACTTCATTGAAAAATAAATGGAGAATAACTTATTAGAAGAGAATTCTGGTAGTCGTTTCCTATTATTTCTGGGAAAGCCTTACTAATTTTAAGTGTGAATGCCCCATACATAAAATGTGCAAATTGACACATATAAAGTTGAAGCTACTATATCCAGGTACAAAGAAAGTGCTCAACAAAATTTGTTTAAGAAGCCAAAGAAGAACAAAAACTTGAAATTACAAATATGAAGACTATGTACATTCTTCAATCATTAACTGAATGAATGAACAAATGAACAAAAGATGTTTCCTTCCTATTTAAAATGAGAGTAAAGGTAATTGGATTGTCTACTAAAGTGAAATGCAGCAGAGTTCAGAAAGTGTGATAGATCTGAATCAAACTCTTGCATTTCATTTTCAGTATTCCGATGCCTTAAATATGTTCAGTGGTTTTTGAACACCCTTCTTTAGAGGTCTTTTAAGATGGTATAGATTTAAATATCTTAGATGGTAAAATTTTGCATGAAAAGCTAGATGTCAGCTTGTGTGAGACATAGTTGTTCTCTGCATTACCATGAGAAGGTCCCTACTCCATTCTCATGGCTTTGCTTTGAATGAAGGGGAAAGTTACCTGATGAAATGAATAGGTTTTGAAGGACTGCTTACTTTACTAGGAGAAGGATAAATTCTTCATAAAAAATGTGACTTCCAAGATATTGCTAAGCTAATGGGCTGGAGTGAGTAGAAGAGGTAATAAATCTGGGTATACAATTCTGTTTCCAGAAGATTGGGCTGGGACAGGTTGATGGAGGGCCTAGAGGAAGAGAAGCGTTGTGGCAGGGAGGTGGATATGATAGCTCATGTCTCGTATCTTTAGGGAACTAAAAAAATTACTTAAGCTATCCTGAGTTGTGAGGACCTAACTTTAGTCTTAATTATAGTGTTGTCTTGTGAAATATTTTAAATTTAGATTAGAATGAGTAAATTGCAGGAAAAAGCATGCCAAGGAACCCAACAAAAATAAGACTTGTACTAATAGACATTAAGTAAGACCCAGGTATGTAAACGTAGGAATTCATGAGAGGCCAGGAGATGCTAGACCACACTGCCGACACTGGAGAGAGAAGCTGTTACTGGAGAACTGGTCCTCAGATTGCTTACCCTTCTCACCCGGGAGGTAAGAAAGCCTGTTCTCTCTGGTGGTTCCACATTTAGCCTTCTAGTAGGTTTACAAGTGACAAAACTGGAACCTAACCTGAACTAATAATAAGGGTAATAAAAGCATTACATGCACTCCTAAAATGAAAGAAATATTCATATCCTGCAAAAGGAGAGCATTAATAACATCATAAAGGGATTGGTAATGGATGGTCAATACTTTCCCTGTTGTCGTCAGAACTCCCCCCTTGGCGAAGGGTGAGAGGGTGAATTTAGACAATTTTTGGACCCGGCATTCCATCAACAGACAGAGAAAATCACCCTACACCTGACAGAAATAACACTGCTGTTTAAGCTGGGAATTGAGGTGCCAAGTGAGAGATGGCAGCAGTGTACTGGGCAACTGACAACTGGCCTGAGAGACAGATGTGGGACAAAGAACTCAGTCCTTCAAGACCATTTTCTTGCTTTTGGATCCAATTACTAAATTGGTTTTGTTATTCCCAACCATGGTCAATATCATTCATTTCTTTTAAGAATAAATCCTTAATTGTGATAGGCCACTGACTCAAGCAAAAGCATGCCTCACTGATTAGAATTAAGCATTGTAAGTTCCATAGCAAAAAAAGGGTTAGCCATTCTGAAAACCAGCCAATGATTTGGCAATATTCTCTTTTGGATTGTTAGACTGTGACGGGATATGGCCTAACAATTGGCAAAAAGCAAATAAACACAGTGTTGTGGGATTTGACTTTGGCCACAAAATCTTCAGCAACCCAACTGTCAACAATTCTTTGGATAAGATCCTACTCAGCTATAATCTCTGCTAGTAGTTAGCAAATATACACACCACCTCTAAATATGGAGATGGTAAACTTGCTTATGCTCTGAACAGTTCTTAGCAGGTTAAACAAAAGAAAAATAATTCACATTATCAAAACAAAAATAAGAAAATCAGGGCAACCCCAACTTAAAAAAAGAACAATGAGAAACATATCTATGGAACTGAACCAAAATCCTGCATTACTGACAAAATGCAATCCTGTAGAACTGTTGACAAAGTACACATAATTTATTGCCACAGGTGCATCTCTTCTTTATTTTGTAAATCCTTCATTTGAACTGACCATCATTTTCTTTTTGGTACCAAGCCAGAGCATCTACATGTATTTTCCCTTTCAACTCAGCTGTGTTACAGCTCTTTAGCCTACAGTTCTAGAGCATTCAGAGACCCAAGTGAATTGGAGAGAACATGAGAAGCCAGCTTTCAGTCAGCCACGTTCCCTTTTCCAGGTTTTCCTATCGCTCAGCTTTGGCTAAATACTGTAATCAGCTAGGGAACTTTAAAAAAAATACTGACGCCAGGTCCCACCCACAAAGACTCTCATTAAATTGATACGGGGTGCAGCCTGGGCACCAGGAATTTAAAAAGCTCCCCAGAT